GACCCGCTCTGCAACTTGCCTCTCCTGTTACTGCTACCAGACAAGCTGAAAACAGGACGGCCAGATTCTGTAACTCTCAATTCTTAAGCTATATTAAGGCACAAGCCTCAGCTCTCTCTAGGATACCTTTCAGTTCTCCCCTAAAAACCATGTAAACCTTGCCCCCTTCAAAATCCAACTGCAACGCACTGTTCTGAAGACCACCATGCAATCTTGCAACAAAAATGGGGAAAATTCGTTACTTAAACAATGCAGTGCTATAGAATAAGGCATGGCCACAAGGTGGCTGAGCAGCGATCCTTTAAACAACTTTACAGGAGCAGAAATAAAGCCCGCTGCCATGGGGTGCTTGGCTCTAGAAAACTAGTAGCTCCGAGATAGCCTGGAACAGTGTAGCATAGATAACTCCTGTGGAAGAAGGAAATAGCTGAGGCAGACAGACTAATGCCAAACTACGAGAGTCATGTCTGAGAGGACACCCAGTCCTCCAGAAACTCAAAGCAGCAGGGACAGTGTTACTTCTCCAGGCAGAAAAGCTTGATTTCATGTTCCTGAAAGGGACTGGCAGACCAATCAGGAATTTAAGATCTGGGAGTCCAACTTGCAGTACTTGGAGAATGTTAGTATTTTTATTTGTATTGGCAGCTACAGTAGCTGAACGCGATAGCAGTATCTCACAGTTCTCCCACTTCACAGTGAGAGAGGTAAGAGAAAAGGGAAGAAATGGCTTGAATTCTCCAGTCTAAGCCTTCTGACTACGTTTGCAAAGATAGCATGCTATTATTTCCTTGGAAATACTTTTCCAAGCTAAGCACACAATACATATGAGGGAGCTGACATCTCTGCCAGGCGCAGACAGATGATGTTGATTTCCTAGTGCAAGAGGAGATGATAGGCAAGTACACACGCTATAAATCTCTTCCTGCCTGATGTGGAAGAGTCCTTATGAAAAGCCTGGAGTATGAAAGGCGTTGTCAGTCTAGACGATGCCCAGACCGCCCAGGGACAGCCCTTTGAAGAAAGGTGCTGCATTCAGATAACCAGGCATGTTCCAGCTCCAAGCGAACCTCTGGGACCATTCTGCCACAGGACTGTTGGCAACCAAGAGACATCGGATGAACTGGGGACTGAAAGAACATTTAAGTGTTGCCTCGGTCTTATATGCTGCCTCTTTTATTTAAGTAAGTCTGTCCTTCATTTCACATCTTGTTTCAGAGAGTGAGACAAATCAACCCCTAGGACTCAGAGCCATCTGATCTTCTCATAACCAAGACACAAACACATTGCTTGCAATACCCTTCTGCCTGGTACTTTCTGCCCAGCCCCTCTGCTCCTCTTCAAAGTGCCAGGTGATACCAACCACACTGACAACACAGAGCCTTTGAGCAGCTCGGGAAAGAAGTTGATGAACTGGTAAGTCAAGACTTGGCTGTAAATGACAAGGAAAGCCATTCTCAGCTGTCTTTACTCTAAACAGAAAAAACTGTGTCCAAGTGAAAGGCAATGACAGATCCTTTTCTGACTTCCTAGGAAAGCAACAGTAAATGCTTCTTTGTTCAGACAAGCATATGTACAAGTTTGGCAAAGAAGAGAACCAGCAAAGAGAACTAAGAAAAACTGAAGCTGTTATATAAACTTGTAGCACTAACCACAGAAGCACCTTCCTAGGTACAGTTAGAGGTCTGTCTGTTTAAAACTAGACCAGAAAGCATTGCCAATATACTATTCCCTCTGCTCTAAAGCAATACTGGCTGCAAGGTTCAGACATGGAAGGTGCCTTGGATTACAACAGTCCCAGTCTCTGAGATGTAAGAGAAGCTTGAAAACAGGAATGAGTTTGTTACCTTTGCCTAATACACATGGAATGCCAGTATCTTAGACGTGACCTCAAAAGGCAATACTTAACCTTCACTGCAAAGTACACCAAGCAGCTTAAGAAAAGCAGGGCTAAGATTCAGGTGAAAATACTAGCCCAGTCAGAAGATGGATGCCTGAAGCATTAATTTATGCTGCAGAAAAGCTGCATGCAGAGCTCTTCACCGGTATCCTGGAAAGCAGACAAACTCTGGAGAATGCTACCATGTTGCTTTTGGAACAGAAAACAGGGAGGGATACAAGCCTAAACAGGGCCGTCTCAGCCCATCTTTTGCTGATAGACTGCAACCAACATGGGGAGGGGTCCTGGTGTAACACCATCATTTTATTAAATCGAAGAGAAAATGCCATATGAAAGTGACAGTGACATCTGTCCATGAACTGCCACACAGGCACCAGAAGAGGCAGGCCAGTCATTGTAAAAATAAGCTCGCACCATGAGAAGACCCTGGGACTATTTGACCTGTGCAGAGGAAGTAGCAGCAGATGCTACCACCAGCCACTGCCCTAGTTGCTCACATTCCTGGCTTCTGAACTAGGAAACACTTGGCAAAACCAAACCCATCCACTCACCATAAATAGCACCGCACTCTTCAAAAGCACCTTAATGGACACAGTATTAGGGTTATTTCTGTCCCCTCAGATGAATGCTCCTACCAAACTGCTCTCTTGGGCAGTTTGATTTGGGTAGAATTTAATGGGAGTCAAACAAGGGAAAAACAATGACCCACAGGGCTAGAGGGGCAGGGCAGCACTGAGAGCGCAGGCATCGCTCCGACCCGCCTGCTGCGGTACCACTGGCGAGCGCCACAAAGAGCAAAGGAGCAGCAATAAGGTCAGAACCAGAAACAATACAATTTAACTGCATTCTGCGCCGCTTCCAGTTCACGCTGAGAAAGCTGCGAGCAGGGGCGACATGCACAGCTTACCAAAGGGAATGCTGAAGAATGGGCTGCATAAAGCCTTCTCAGCGGAGGCTCGCTTTCCTTGGTCACAATGAAGCATGCTGGAAGAGAAGACACCCTTAAGGTCTTGCATGTGACATTCCTATATCAATGAACTCAACTCAGGCTGGAAGCCAGTACAGAGGAATGCCCCATCTTTGGGGTGTTTAGGGTACAAAGAGGAGAGTGAGAAGTACATCTTCCAATGCACAGCTGAAGCACATCAGAAGGATCCCCAGAAAGCATTTTGGTTACATGGTACAGTAGGTTTTCCTTCTCGATGTCTCTCAGCACCAAATGATGGAAGTTGCTCATTTGCAAGTTCAGAAGGAACACAGCATGTTCCAGCACCACCTCCCCAGGCCATTGAGCCTACGTCTCAGGCACACACGCAGTCTCACAAAAGTGGTGACACTCCAAGGAGCAACCACATCTTTCCACAGATGGGATTCAAAGCAGCTAATAGCCCAGGGCTTGCCTGAGAACATCCCCTACTCGGCTTTACCAGTGGCTCCCAATGCTATTTCTGCCAAGTTGTGTCCTCATTCACTCTGTAGCCTGAGAGCACAGTCACAGGACAGAAAAAACAATCCCCTCGGCAGACCTCTCAGTAGAGAGCTGCATGAGCGCATTTGAATCTTGACAGTAGTGGAGAAGCAGTGCTGTCTGCCCTCCTCCCTTGTTTCTAACAACGCTCCCCTAAAGCAGCAAAGTCTCCCATCTTCTCCAAATACAACCTCATTGGCAGGAACTGAAAAGCACTGAAACAGCAAATGATTAACATGATGACTGATATTCTTTATGTGCTTACTCCAAACTGTGCCAAAATCAGAGGAGCTGAAGCAGCTCTGCTAATGCTTGCACTTGTTACCAGCACAGTGGTAGGGAGATTTAAAAAAAAAAAACACAAACCACAAGCATTAGGTGTGGTCTCTTAAGTTACCAAGAGCAAGGATGAGACTTTACAGAGCACATCTTTAAGCAACAGTTAGTAAATATGATAAGATACCTTTTGATAAGGTCTCTGAGGTGATAAGCTGGAATGGCTGAATTAACCACCCCTTCACTGGCAAATATGCGATCAATGATGGCCGAACTGTTTGTCTGGGAACAAAAAGAAACAGTGCTTAGAGAGCAAAAAAAAAAAGACCAGTGCAAAGCTTGCAATATCCCATCATTTTCTAGACTGGACGCAGAGGGCTCTAGTTCTGTGCCATGTTGTGAGAGATCCCCTATGCTCAAGCCTCACACGTTAAACCAGCAGGCCCACATCAGATGAAGTTTTCCCATTTGACGTTTCCCATTTTCCCATTGCCACCAGTCCCAGCGAAAGCTGGAAATTTCCAAGCACAGGCAAATTTGGTGTTATTGTGGATGTTATGATGCTGAAAGGATACTTTTACTGGGAAGGGGAACACAAAGCAAAACTATTTCATAGAGAGGAGAGGACAGAGTCAGGCTCCAGACTCCTAACACAGAGCCTTCCTCTTGTTTTCTCAGGGTATAGACTTACAAGAAGATCCCCAAATTAGAGCTAACGTTAGACTAAAACCAGCAAATAATTCCTCTGTCATTGCGCTGCTGAACGAGCAGGCAGTCATCAGCCATCCATTTTGTTCTTCCTTCTGTGCCACACTACAGCCAGCACAACTCACCTCCCACATCTTGGCAAGACACAGGCCCCAAACACAGACTCCTGGAACCCTCAGCTTTCAGTAACCTGAACGCAGGCAGCATTCACACACGCCAGTCCCACAGGGCAGGCAGGTCTTTAAGTCTCTGGAACCTTAATTCTCAAGGCAATAGGATCAGAGAAACACCCTGGAGACACTCTCTTGTTGCCAGGTGCTACCTCTCAAATCCAGGTTACGAACAAGAAGCAAGAGGACTCGTTTGGTGCAAACAAGAATGCCCGCAGCAGCTCTTGCTCACCTTCCATTCCTGAGATTGAACTGTATGTTTCAGTTTCATTCCTGAGAACATTTCCAGTAAAACAATTCCCAGACTCCACAGATCCACAGCAGAGGTACACTCCGTCTCACTCTGGAGCCCTGCCTGCGCCAGGCAGTTCTGCAGTTCTGCCTCTGGAGCCCGATACCCGTCTGTTTGAATATATTTCACATCCTACGGAAGATCAGACACAGAGAAAAAGTTAATTTTCCAGATTCAGGCTCTCCACTCTGTCTTTAAATCAGTTCACAAACATCCTTCCAAATGGGTCACCAAATACTATCACTAAATCATGTTAAGCAGGCATTTCAACTCGCTCTACTGCTGTGCTGATGAGGAAAAATCAAGACTGTGTGGAAAAGAAAACATCTCCCAGCAAAACAGCAGGCATCCCACTAACATCTGATCTCTCCAAAAGACAGCACTGCTGGGAGGAAGAGGCTGGATGCCACTGCGGACTGGCCCATTAACCTCTCATAAGCGCAGAAGATGCTAGAAATTTCAGGATAAGGTTCAACAGCCCCAATATGCTCCCACATCAGCTGCCTAAGAGCATAAACAGCCTAGTCTGAACAGTGAGGATCAGTAACAGCTGCCATTATTCAAGTACTGATGTTCTCTGGAACAAAATGTTAAAAGAATGAAGCAGGCACCTAACACTCAGACAAGGAAATTATCAAAGGTGCTTCCCACGCTCTTCTTCCTTCTCCCCCCGCAGCCAGAAGTGCTGCAGCAGTCAATACTGGCCCAGCTGCCGTGGCGGGCAGAGTAAAACAAAATGCCCACATGCTGCCTGCTTAAAAGAAAACAGGAAATTATAGAATCACATGAGTGCTGGCTGGAGGGACTGCTCTGAAGGTCTCTCCTGCTCATAGCCAACACCCCATCAGTCAGTGTGGCTTCATCTAGCCAAGTCTTGTAAGTGTCCAATGAAAAACTGCATGCTGCGTCTTTTTAACAGGGGAGGGCTAGTTTTAGACAGATTGATGTGACTCAAGGAATGACACAAGAATACGCAACCTTACTTCCTGGATAAGGCGCAAGATTGGGAATTCTTACCAGGGAAATATATTCAAACCAAAATTATCTGAATCTCTGATGGAAAATAGTTTACAGAAGACATTTTCAGGCAACAGATCTCAAAAGTGTTTTATGAACTTAAAAAAACCCAACTGATACACAAATGGCTCACCAGCGTCCCTCCTCCTATCAGCAGAGAGCAGAACTTCTAGCATGGCAAAAGCAGCAATTTAGCAGCCCCACCAAACAACATTTAGAGATAGAGAAAACACTGTGGTCAATGGCATCAGCAAAAAGAGCAAGACGGAATTTCACTCCTACCATCTAAAGCACTTTGAGAGACGTAAGTGGTTGAGACCTTGCTCTGTGTACAGCCATTCTCTGTTAAACAGTAACGGCAGGAAAAGTTATGCAAGGATAAGCTCAGCAGAGCTGTCACAAATAAAAGTAGCATAGTCTTGACTCAGATAAGGAAATAATGCACCTATGCTGCTGCCCAAGGGAGGGGCAGTGAGAGGAAGATGACACCTGGCGTGCATTAAAAGCGGAGTCAGAAGGTTCACCCATATAGCCAGCCTATTTCTGAGAATGGGCAAAGGAAACTCAGCCCAAAGAAAGCAGATTGGAAGGAAACACAGAAGCAAATAGAACACCTGATCAACTATTATGGGGCAACTCACAGAGCAAGCAGCAAAACAGACCTGAATTAAAAAAAAATATCTGCATCAGACACAGGACACCAGGAGAATGTTTTTTGCTGATAGACAGCAACAGATTACCAGCACAAACCAGCATTCAGCCAAGAATGTGGGAGAACTGAAGACAACATGGAGGAGTTAAAAAGTACAAACATTAAAACCAGCTCCAGTACCAAAGAATTCAGAGACAGGTCACCCACACAACTCTGATATTCACAGCTCAGCGGGCTGTACTGTCAATACCAGGTAAATCGGTAAAAAAAAATTATATTAATTTAAACCCTCTAAATGAGTAGACTGCATGGAGCAGGGACAAGCCGGGACAGTGTCTGCACAGAAAAATCATAGCTCGTTTACTAGACTTACTGCTCATCACCCAGTGATTAAAGGTAAATTTGCTATCTGATGAAAAAGCTTTACTGACACCCCTCGCAGGCTGCTACTGAGAGAGGGAGGGGTGAAAGGAAGCTCTATCAAGCCAAGGGCAGAACCTCCCAAGGCATTCTGCTTTCATTAGAGACCATGGAAGAGAATAAAAAGGGCAAGGACAAACTTACAAAACCCGGTAACACCAAAACAAAAAAGTGACAGCATGAAGAGGGAGTCAAAGCCAAGCAAACGGGAAAAGAGAGTGGAACAGGCAGAGATCTGTCCGTGTAAGTAAAGAATGGACACTGCCTACCCACAACCAGAGATTAGGCTTTCGTCAACACAACGACGTGGGAAAGAAACATCCAGACTTCCCGAAAAAGGGAAGTTGCTGAAGATAGGATGAAAGTAAAGACAAGCACAAGGACACTGCCAGAGATGATGCAATTGACTGGGGAGGCAGATGGTGAAACCTGGATTAGTACTACATATGATAAGGGATGATAAAAGGAAATTCTACAGATCTAGGTGCTCCCACTCGTCTGACCACATAAAAACTAGCAAAACTTTCCAGGAAGCTGAGACACCACTTTTTTCAGTGCATCATTAACTTTGGAATTCATGGTCATGCGTAGCGCACAGGCTAAGACATCAACAGAAACCAGAGACATGCAAGGAGAATGGGAACACGAGCTTCTGTTTCTGGGGCCAGACAACAGTTTAGCCTTTTCCAGGAAACCCTCAGCACCAGCTCAGCTACTATCCTGACCAGGTCATGTTGACTCCTACACACACGAGCTGAAAGCATCACAGACCCACACAACTCAACACAGAGCCAACTGCTTCAAGAGCAGCACGTTCCAAACCTGATTCCCCTCTTTGAAGCTAAGTCCAAAGTCAATGAGCTTAAAGCACTCCTCCTCTGCGCTCCACAGGATGTTGCGTGGCTTGAGGTCTGCGTGCACATAGCCTTTGTGGTGCAGGAAAGCCAGGGCTTCGAGAACGTCTCGGGCGCAGTGCTGGATCATCCACATGGAGCAGCCCTGGTTGCTGGAGTGCAGCAGCAGCTCGGATACACTGATGTCCAGCAGTTCCAACAGGAGACAGCGAGATGGGCCATTCGCAGAGTAGTGGTTGGTGAACACACCGTACAGCGTCACTGTGGTGGGACACATTGACAGGCATTGGTAACGAGCAATTACACGGTCATCACTTTCCACCACTCCCCACTACCGCCCAGAAAGCCACAAAAGCTGCAGGAGGCAGCTCATCTGCTTTACAAAGCGTGATGTTCAGAGTGATGGAGAACCAGACTTCAGAGGGAAGCAGCAAGGGGAAACCAGCCATGTCACCCCTATGGGATTCGGAGGACAGGCCAGTCTCAAAACACCCCGCCAGGTGCTGCTAAGGCCACAAGGCCGAGTGCTCCTCCTCAGAAGGACAATCTCTAGGACATGGATGAGCAGGTCCTGGTGGGTAAAATGGAGGTAGTACCACTCTTTTTAGGACATGTCAATCTTCCTGTGACAAACCTAGGACAGTGGGAACCTGAGCTCTCTCTAGGTGTCTAGGTACATAGACAAAAAAAAAAAAATAAATCAGCAGCGGGTGA